ACGTCCCTTAGCAATCAGAAATTCTCCCACAGGCAGGACCAGCGGTGTTCCCAGCCGCCGTGGCGCGGCAGTCCGTGGCATGCCGTGCTCTGCAGACCCACGGTGTGTCTGCTGGGGCCGTGGCAGCTGCAAGGACACTGCTGTGTCCCCACACTGCTGCGGATGGCAGGACACGCTCAGGGAGGCTGAGGCTTCGTGCTAGTGCCGGTGGTGCTGTTTCAGCTGAGCTAACCCCCTGGGTTTTCTCACAAAAATCTGGAGTATGCGTGAAGGTTTGTGACACCCCTCGAATTTAACTGATAGTCTGCTCGACGGAGAGCAATGCTGCTGCACTGGTCCTAGCACAGTCCTGAGCTCAAAGCAGTGCATTTGTGTCTGAGGCACAGGACAATCCACCCAGCCCTCATCCATACACTCATATGGCTCAGATTGTATATTCTGCAGCAAGACAAACTTTTCAGGCATTAGTGCCATCTCAGCTCAGCATAAGAATAGTAGAACAGTAGTTGGGACACTAGTTTACAGGCACTTGTACTTCTAATCTGATTTCTTACATCTTTTGGGGTGAAAACCAAACAAAACCAACCCCACAGCACAAACCAAAATGAAAGAAGCAAACACACGGTGCAAAACCCAGCAATAAACAACCTGCTTTATGGACTGTGTGCATTTGTCTCCTGTCCCAGCCCTACCCTGACCTCTACAACTGTTGTCTGTGGTGTCTTGCTTCCAGGCATCTTGTTCCTGCTTTACTATTTATCTTCTTGGGCTAGAACAGCTTGGAAGAAGATTAACTGGGTCAAAGTCTAGCAGCTCCCACTCCGAATATCACCCATGCCCCTGTTGTTCAGCACGGTGACATTATGCTGATAGAAAGGGAATTACAGGTCCCATCAGCTGAGCACATGCAGTGATGTTCAGCACCAATGTACCTATAGTGGCAGCAGGAAACCTAGTACAAACCACAAAAAGTAAAATCTAAACCCTCCTGAGGAGATAATTACATTTATTTAATTCCACAGTCCAGTGTGTAAGACAGAAAAATGTTAATGATCTCTTTCTATAAAACAATTATATTTCTGACTCTGAGGATAGAGATTGTGTATTTGTAATGTTTGGCTTGTAAAGTGCCATAGCTGCACATGAAAAAATTTACAGAAGAGGGAGAATCTGCTGAAGAAATAACTAGGTCAAGATCCTTCAGAATTTAAATGAGATTTAAGGAAGCATGTTCCAAACTGATAACTGAGACAAAGCAGCCAATATGATATACAGACACTAGAAAGCTTTGTGGAATACATACGTTTTCAGCTTGCTGTGTAAAGAAAAAATGCATACATGGGATGGGAAATTGCTATTGACACATAAAATATGATGCCACATGAGCAGAAAAATGAACTTAAATATGTGACCTATATCATGAAACACAATAAAATCTGCTTAGCTGGTTACTGGAGAAAAGATTCTGAATTTGGCTTGAACCACGGGGAGAATATAAGGAGGCTGAACTGAATGACCTGAAATGGAGCTAGGACAGCAGCATAACATCCTGGGAAAATAGGTCTTGTCTCCCCAGTAAGTCTCACTCACCAGGAGAGCTAACACATCTCAATAGCACTGTCTCTTCAGCACAGCCCACTTAGCCAAGAAATCAGGACAGGATGAAATGCACTTTATAGTTTTGTCCTTTTTCATTTAAAAACAAAAGCTTGCATATAAATCCTTAGAGGGTGGTGAGCACAGTGCAGAAAGCAGGACAAAGAGGTGTGGCATATTTGGACGACGTCCTGTATCAGGTGGAAAGCATTGGAAATCACCAGGGATGTGGCTGAAGGATCCTGCCCGACGCAGTTTCCCTTCCCAGGTGTCTCTCTTGGCCCTGGCCAGGTTAGAACCAGAGGAGTGTTTCAGGGATGCTAAATGTGAAGGCTTCTCCTCCCACGGCCAGGAAGCCAGGAGGGTGGTGTGTGCAGGGCAGAGCCCCTTGCACAGGTCACGGAAGATTTCATCCACCAGCCCAGAGAAAGCAGCAGATATCTGTTCTCTACATATCTTTACACTTTTATCAGTGCCCAGCCCTCAGTCCAGCAGTTCTGTATGTCTACTCTGTATGGCACAGTGTGATCCTGGGTTCTCCAACCAGTTCTGGGGTGCCAGGACTGTACAAGTATATAATAATGTGTACAAGTGAGTAATAATACCATCTTCCTCGGGTTAAAGGGACTAGAAAAGAGATGCATTCCTTTCTCAGCAAGGTACAGGACATCAGTTTGTAGTGACTACTGTCATAGTGTCACCAGAGGGTTTACTGAGGGTGGGGTGATGTCCCAGTTAGTAAGCCATCAGTGTGCAAAGTACCATGTCTTCTGAAACTTCCAGGATCTGTAGCTGTACCGGCTGTACATGGATCCATACTAGCTAAGAGAAGCAGCACATAATGGAAGAGCCACACACTTGTTTTGGGAGGAAGGGCCTGCAATAATCCAGAGCCACTCTTACCCTGTTTGGAGCAAAATAAGACCTGTGTTTCTATCACAGCCTTAGGTATCTTCAAGTCAGGCTGTGCTGCTTTCATTTCTCATTATTTGCTGCTGCTCATGTTTTAGTTTCATCCCTTCTGGGATCTGGTGTCTTATTGGACTGTGAATCACAAGCTGCTCAAGAGGCAGATGCTGATGGTGTATCTGTGCAGGGAGATTGATGTGTGTTCTGCTTGGTGCCAGAGTCCCTTACAATCCACAGTGCCACTTTGTTGAAGGCACTATGCAAAGCCCCTGTGTCTCATGAGCCATGGAACAGCCTCTCTTTAGCAAGCAACATGTGACACAAGGAGCCCAGGATTTTGGCCAACATCTGCAAGGGCTGTACATGGTTTTGTCAACAGAAGAACTTCCTAGAAGTGGCTGGCAGCTGAATTGCTTAGAGGAGGATAGCCGTGCTGGTGGGAGGAGAAGAGAGCAGGCTCAGAGTCTCTGCTCAGATCGCAGACAAGGGACAAACATCGGTGGTGGATGCTGCCGTGAGCTGAGGGAATTTTGCAGAAATGCCTCACTATCCCACACCAGAGGTCAATTGCAGAGTGATGAACATATGCCTTAGTTGTTTGTATAGCAGCAGTAGTTGCACAGAAACAAGCCTGAGCTGCTTACAGCTGCACAGAGTCCCTGCATGTATGACTGCAGTGTTAGGCAGTGCACCTCCTCCTCCTGAGGGATTTTGTCCTTGCCAGGTGCTCACAGCTGAGCACGCACAACCTGCCCTTCTGCACTCCTTGGTCATGCTGTCTGCTGCCGGAGCAGTTTCAAAACAGCACCATGAGCCAGGTTTCTGCAGGGACACATTGACTGGTTCCATCCTTTCCACCATAACCTCCTGAAGCAGGAACACGGGAAAGGGGAACAAGGTAAGAGGGATTGAAAACTGTGGGAGCTGGTTGGATGCAGGTTGAGAAACAAGGTGTGCTTAAATATATCACCAGAAGAACCTCTTTGGGAGGCAGGTCTCTGAAATGGGACTGCAGGGAGACAGCATATTCACCAAAGGGAAATTCTGTTTATAGGAGTGGAGAAGTCTCTTGCTTCAATCATCTCACCCAGAACCTGGGGAGATCACTGTCCCCAGCTTGGGTCTGTCTGGCAGGTGCTATGGAGATGAAAATGAGAAGGTGGTTGAGGAAAGAGGGGAAGGAAGAAGGACATACATGGCCCCCAGAGAAGGTGATGTTGGAGTCACTGGAGGGGAAGAAGGAAGAAAACCTTGAGGGAAGGAGAAGTGAAGTGCTGACCATAATTGGATGGGACCTCTGCTACACAGGTGCTGTCAGTCCTTAGGCAGATGCTTTCCTTGCCTTTTTCTTTCAGCTTGTGAGCAGCATCCACTGCTTGCAGAAGCAATGAGCTGTGTAACAAAACAGAGAGGGCCCCATCCCACTGCAGCTCGTGTACAAACAGCCCCCCCAGGCCCTGGACAGCTTGGAGACGCCGCGGGCTGCAGCGTGGCAGGTGACGCTGTCCCCCAGCCTGTGCCCCCTGAGCTCTGTTCTGCAGGTGTGCTGGGCTCAGCTGGAATCCCCTCGTGGAGTGTGACTGGAGATGGGTTGTAAGGCTCTATACCCACTGTGGCCATGATGTGGGTGCACACCCTGACACTATGAATAGCCACATCCTCAGGGAGGAGTCTGCTTGCCTGGCTGTAGGGACAGTTCCCGAAAACACCCGCAAAACCCACTCAGCTGGGAGCTCAGCACAGTGACTGTGAGTCATTGCCTCAAGCCTATTTGTCCCTGCAGTAAAGCCTGTCTGTAAGTCAGCTACATCTGACATCTCCTCCAACACCCTCCTACACTCAGAGAATCCAGCTCAGGCAAACAAGCTTCGTGGAGGCTGGCAGTGCAGAACAGGCAGGGACAGAGGAGCTGGAACACAACTTTGTGCTTGACCAAGCTGACCACAGCCTCGCCCAGCACAAAGCAGGTGTCCAGCAGCTGCACAGAACCCAGAGTGAGCAGGCTCACAGGCAAAAGTGGCCCCTGGAGCTCAGGAGCAGTGGGGGAGTTAGAATTCAAACACTGGCAGTCCTTCATGAGGCTCTGTAACTGCCTGGGCCCTGGGATAACGGGTCTGGGTGACTAAATCGCTTCAGCATCTTCCAGGCTTCGCTAATAGATAAGCTTTGGGTCCATTAGCAGTAACTCCACATACAAAAGACCTGCTGGAGTCTGTGCCTGTCCCCACAGGGCTCGCTGCTTTTCCAAGACACACATTCTTGACAGGGCACTGTCTAGCATTTCTTGATGTTACATCAATCAAGTTCTCCCTCTGCACAAACATTATGTTTACATGGCAATTTCCTTCTGTTCCTGCTACCTCAGTCTCCTGACTTATTGCACTGGGAAATGCCCATATTTTATCATATATAGATCACGAGTCTTGGTGTGGTGTCTCAAGCAACCCAAGGTGGGGGAAGGAGAATGTGGAGAAGTACTTTATAAGGAATTTTCATGGTAACTGAAGTGGTGCCAGGAACTTCTCTGTCTTGTGCAACAGGCAGCAGCATGCTATGAGAGACTGCAACAGAGAAGAGAACCAGCTGTGGAGCAGCTAAAAGGACTAAAAGTACATTTCCTCTTTAATCAGCTCAATTGATGGCAGATCCAAAGTGGAGCTAGGAACTGTATAAAACCTCCAATGTCTGCTGATTTGTGTTCCCTTCTCGGTTCCATACACAGCTGTCACGTTTAAGGTGAGTGGCAAATGCTGTTAATTTTCACCAGAGACACACCCCAAGCGCTGCTGGCCTCAGCAGCCTCAAACACAACAGAAATAAATAACATTTAAGTAGGCCATGAGTATAGGGTAGGGTGGAAACAAACAAGCAAACACAAAACCTGATTCCTAGCATAGAGTTCAGCTCTTTATTCCTGAAAACAGATCACATTCTAGTTACAGTGAATAGTTTCCTTCTTAATTGAATCTACTATTGTCCTACCCCTTCCTCCATACCACACTAACCTCCGCCAAACCCGCTGTAGTTAGTGCTTTCACAATTTTTAAAGCTTAAGTAGTGATTCATGGAGTCTCTACAGACAGCTTGTGAATGATTTTGTTAAGTATCTTTCTGCGATAGTTTCAGATCTCAATGGTGTCAGTCACCTTTCTGGTGCAGAACTCTGTTGTGCATTTCCTGGATCAAAGACAAGGGACATTACTGATGCCTGTGTGGACTGGAACTACAGTATTGTTCTAGCTTTTCTGGAGAAAACTGAGATTTTTCCACTAGAACAATGCCAGTGGTAATGCTATACAGCTCCAAATAATTGGAGTAGTGACACAAAGGCATGAGACAATGGAGGGAGGTATTTTTGGCTGCAGGAAAAAAGCACAATCTGAAGATAGAGAAGAAAGTAAAGACTGCTGGATTGTGAAGAAAAAGGAAGCCTGAGGGAATGTCACACCAGAGGCTACCTGCAACTCCTTTTGGAAGAGAAGTCACTGACCTAATTCCCATGCAAACAGTAGAGAGATTTCCATAACTGTTTTGGTCTGGATCCAGGTGCATTTGTGTTGTCCTAACAATTGCAATAGAATCATGTAGAAGAGCTTTGCCTGTTTGCCATATTATTACAGTGCTCCCAACACCCATCCTGGAGCTAAGATACTGCTGTCCCATTGCTTAAGGTCCACAGCTGCTTCAGTGCAGTCTCCTAGCAAGGGCTCAGGTTATGTCTCATGCCTGCAGGGGCTGCTGGCAGAAGTGGTATGTATAGAACACCTTAGCCACAGGGAATGCCTGCACTCCAATCTGCAAACCAGAAAGACAAATCCCAGTGGTTTACAGCTCAAAGCAGCAGATAAACATCTACTAGTTGGATTATCAGGACTGCAAATGAGCATTCCCTCACCTTGTGCTTTTCATCTAGTCTGAAAACATTACTCAGGAGATGACAGCAGGCAGGTATCTCATACCGATCTTTATTATCATAAATACTGTGCTGGAGCAGAGGAGGGTGCTGTGCATCCACCCCCTTTGGCTGCTATTTCACATCTTCCTTCTTGGCTCCTGCTTCTATCTTCAGGGGCTCTGGGGCTGCACGGTAGGCAGGAAATGCCTCCCAGGGACTGTTGAGATCAAACTTGCGGAACTCCTGAGACAGCTCCACGGGCTCTGCCACCACCCGTTTCACCTCATCATCGTATCGCACCTAGGACACAGCAAAGGACACAGCCCAGTCACTTTCACAGTCCCACAGCACCTCTGCTATCAGCTGTGCACAGGAGTGACCCACACCACCCTCCGGTACAGACAATCCTGATTCTTATGCCATGGATGGGCCACAGGCCTCTGCCACAGCTTCAGCTCTCCCCATTACTGAATGAGGAGGTAATACTCCAGATAATACCAAGACCTCTGGACTCTCCAGGAAAACCTTCCTCTTTGCACCTCAGGAGTCAGGACTAACCTCTCAGAATGAGGAGTGCCCAGCCTAACAGGTCACATGAAGGTCATGTGCAGTAACACATCGAGTTGGTCATATGACAAAGGAATTTCTCCCAAGTCACCAAAATCAGGTGGCCCATCCTGGGCCTGGCACAGCTGGGACTACACTCATCAGTCTTTACAATATGGTGTTGATTTGGGTTTAGTTGCTCTAATTTTTAGCATAACACTCAGAACATGGGGGGAAAAAAGACACCCAGGCTGAAATGCAGGTGAGCACCACACTCCTGATGGGCCTACTTTATCCCCGCTGTGCCAGTCCAGACCTCCAAACCCCAGCTCAGGACATGCTGCCTGGTCCTCATTTGCAGGATTTACTGTTATTTTTATGTTTCTTGAAACAGTCTGTTGCTTGCAGAGCCTGCTTCCTCCTGCGACTCAAGTCATTCCTAATACTGCACCAAGTCTGTCTGCTTCTGCAAGGTGATCATTTGAAACCAGGCAGATACCAAACACACTGATTTCAGCTGTGGTTTGACATACAGAGGGAAATGATAAATGGCACGACTCAGTTTAAATACAGTTTTATAATCTGTGCGTACAAAAATTCAACTAAGTGAAGCTCCAACTGAATTAAGAATGGTTCGATCCTTTATCCCTCTAGAAATCTCCAGTTTTGCAGTGGAAACTTTAATCTCCCAGAAAACGTGCTAAAAGCAGCAGCACTTTCTCTGCCTGACAAATATCTTTGGTATATGGCACATAACATTTGCTCAGTGTCTCTGGCCTTAGGCTGCCTCACTATGGATGATACTTTGTGTGATACTTCAGACTTCCATGCAGATCTATGAAAGTCCTCTGGAATACACTCTCAGTACCTTGTGAACAAACGCCTGTAAAGCAGCCAATCTCGAGCAAACATCGGAGAAAAGCATTGGAGAGTCTTGATAACTTTAGACACAACTGTAGCTCCTACCTCCACATAACCAGAGAGTGGGAAATCCTTCCGGAATGGATGGCCCTCGAACCCATAGTCTGTGAGGATTCGCCTTAGGTCAGGGTGGTTGGCAAAGAAAACACCATACATGTCCCAAACCTAAATAAGAGCGAGCCAGGTAGGTTAGACTCATTTGAAAAAAAACCTATTATGTCCACAAAATGTTGGCTCCTGCCTGGCTTTCCACAGTGCCAGCGGAACCGATGCAGGAATTCAGAGAAGTAAATCAAACACCCTTTTATCTGCCATGCTGCAGAGGCAGTCAGGGAAACAATTCTCTCTTCAGCTAAACCAGGAAAATACAGCCTCCTTCACAAGGACTGTTCCCACTCACCTCCCGTTCATACCAGTTGGCTGCCTTGTGCACAGACACTGCTGAGTCAACAGGAGTCAGCTCGTCCGTGTACGTCTTCACGCGGATCCGACTGTTGAACCGCAGGGACAGGAGGTTGTACACAATCTGAAGCAGAATAAAGGCAGCATTGGTCCTGTGTGGCATTTATGGCTCTCTCTGCAGTACAGCACTGGCCAAGCAAAGCCACACACAGAGTATTTCAAATGCTCGAAACCCACAGACATCTGGTTAGCCGATACAAACAGGGCAAACCTGCCACACCTTGCTTTCTGAGCACCTCTTGGCAAGTGATTCAACACCACAAGGCAAACCAAAGGGGGAAAATCAATCAGCTACTTTTCAGCATCCTTTTTATTTCCTGGCAACTAAAAATCTCCCAAGTCCCTTCTCCTGCCCAGACCAGACAAGGGCAGACAGACATCTGTCCATCCACAAGGCTGCCATGGTCAGTCTCCTACAGCGTGGAGCCCCACACGTCTTCTGCCACTGCCTTTGCAGATCCTTCTTGGTGAAACTATAGGAACACTCATGCAACAACACTGTGAACAAAGCTTCCTCATAGTAGATGAGAAGACAATATGCTGAGTCTGTGGTTTTTCCCAAAGATGTGTTTTCTTTCTAGAAAAGCTACATGTGAGAGAGATATTCAAAAGCATCTGGAGGAACCAAACCTCTGATAATATCTAAGAGTCAGAGAAAGTTCAGTGCCCAAAACCTTCTGAGAGGATTCTGAAATGTGCCTCGTCTCCTACTTGGCCCTGACTTTCAGGAAATGCTTTTAAGGCAACTAAAAGAGTTTTTTTTCTTTGTTTCTGAGAGGAAAGTTTTAAGGAAGATTGATGGGATTTAAAGCAAAACATGATCAGTTGTGTCAACAGCAACTAACAGGCCAAAATGGAAGAAGAACAAGCATGAACTCACAGCTGGACAGAAAGAAGTCTCTAGACACTTTTGTAAAACAAAAAAACTCCCACAAAATCAAGGCGAGGGGGGAAAGAGAGAGAGACTTTTAGCAAAGCAGAAAAGGACAGCCAGACTGCGTGCTGTGCAGGCCCAGCTCTGCCTCCACGATGGACAGACAGAAGGAGCCCCAGCAGTGCAGAGCGGATTCTCTTCCTCCGTCACGAGCAAACGGAGTGTGGGAGCTGCAGCAGCAGGCACAGCCCCAGGCCCCCTCACCTCAAAGCGGTAGTGCCGTGACGGGACATCGACTGCGGTCAGGTCAGCCAGGGACTTGAACTGCGCGTTCGTGTGGTCGCGCAGGAACGTCAGCACGGGGACGATCCCGTCAGGATGGATCAGGAGCTCCAGCTCGTTGAAACACGTCACCTGCAGGGACAGAGCGGGGCAAGGGCATGGGTGCAGCACCAGGAGCACAAACAGTGTGTGGTTCCAGAGGAGCACTCAGAGAGGTGCAGCAGACACAGGATGACATCAGGCCAAGGGTTTAACAACAGCAGGAACTTCTGTGTCATTCACACCATTTTCCTTCACAGAACGATGTCTGGAACAGCTGACAAACACTTGGTGTGTCCACTGGGCCCTGTCCTGCCACAAGGACAGTTCCTCCAGCAGCACCTACCTGCACTTGCTGGATATACTTGGGCAGGATCTCGGCCACATATTCCCCAAAGGCACAGAGCTGCTTCTGCTCCACTTCGTTCTTTGGTCTCACAGTGGCTAAAGGGAAAATAGAATCCACAAGATTATGGCAAGGAACAGAAAAAGCTACAGAAAGAAAGTGGCAATTCCTACACCAGTGTTAAACGCCCCTTTACGCAGCCAGGCTGCGTGTCAGAGGCTACAGCAACACAGCTGTGCTACACAGAACGTGAGACCGGACACTGATAAAGAAGTTTGTGCCAGTGCTAGACAGAATTTGTTTTGTGGGCTCTGAACACAGCGGAAACAGCCCGAAAGGATGATGGAGCAGCGACTGACACAATGAAAAAGAGGGAGGCAGAGGGTACAGAACACTCTGAACTTAAGCCACGGCTCATGTCATTCAGCCTGGGCCTGGAAAGGCTCGTTTCCGGGCTCTGCCGCGCGCCTCGGCCTCCCCACACCGCCCGGCCCCGCGC